GATTGGCCTCGTAAATCACTTGTCCCAAGACAATGCAATTAAGCCTAATTAACAGATGCCTTTATTCCTAAACAGTCTCTTCCCAAGGGATGTTTTAGCTTTTGGTTTCTAAATTAGCTCAAGGAGCTAAATTGCTCTCATCTCCTTGGCAAAGAAACAGTCCGTTTCTACCTTAGTATAGGATACTTTATGCACTTGGGGGCACGTGTTGCTCTCCATGAACAGTTTATTCATACGTTAGTCCACAATTTGAGTCCACCAGAACCAGTTACAAACCCTTCTGCAAGAAGCAACGTGTACACTTCCCTCTGTGGCCACTGACTCCTCACCTTGCTGTGCTCAGCACAGCTCCCTGAAAATATCTACATCGCTTCTCCAGATCCTCTCCTTGGTGAGGCCAGGGTGCTATTTTTTCTGCTGAAACAGTAGCACTGAGAGCTGATAGAATCCAAGGGCCAGTGAGAATTGGACCATCTTAGTCTATTATTCCTAGAAGCACTTTAAATAAGAGCAGCTTTAGTTCTTTCCTATACAGTGGATATAAACCAATCCTCCCGACCTTTTTTTCTCAACTCACATTGCTCCAAAGCTAAATTATTTTCAGCAGTTTCATGGAAACCTCAGCTATTTAGTTTGTGGATTAGATGGGCCTAATTCAGAAAGAAACAATGTGGTACCTCCTCACAGATCAAGAAAATAAGGAAAAAATCAGCTAGAGCTACCAACCTTGGAAGGGTTGAGCACCCGGAACAAGTGGGAAGGAGGAGATGTATGAAGCTGGAATAATGCATCTTTTGTTTATCTTTCGCCAGGGTAAAAGTTCACATACCAAAAAGCTGTTCAGGTCTCCATAAAGAAGCAGCAAGAACCAATTTGTGCTCTGGCATTTTCATCATAATTAAGGTGCCAGAAAGGAAAGCGGTCTAAAAGAAAGGGTTGATATCTCACCTCTGTCTATGAAGAAATCATCTGAAGATTTCTTGTGTTTCTCAAAGCTAGTATGAAATAGTTACCCTTTTGTTTCTTGTACTTTGATACCTTTTTGTTTTATCCTATGGTAAAAGCTGACACTTTTCGGACATCAGCTGCTTCCTGCACATACAGTATTTCCTCACATCACACAAACTTCTTTTAAACTCTACCTGCTGCTAGTCTGTGCTAAAGTTAAGCCTTGTTAAATCCTTTCATTTTAAACACTAGACTGTGTACCATTTCCATTTAATCCTCTGCCAAGGCTTATCTATTATTCTCCTGGATGCTTTACATACATTTATTTCTCTTTCATCTTTTTAAATTGTGCCTTACTTTTCCTTACAGGGATTTGACTAGAACTTCTTTTCTTCTCCTGCCTCAGGACTCATTGAGTTTGTCCCCTCCTGTCCCTCATGCCAGCTGACAGCAGAGCTGAACTCATTTTGAACAAACACATTTGCAGCTGCAGACAACTCCGCTGTGAACACCTGACTTTTCCCATACCTTCGATACTAGATCCTCACATACATCCACATTTCATTATAGCTACTTTGCTTTGTAAATTTTAGTTATTCTTCTTTTAAGAAATGGGGAATTTGAGAAACAGGAGCAGTGAAAAAAAAAAACAAACAAAAATAAACATACAAAAAATTTTCCAGAGACTAAGAAGTTAATCAAACAGAATTTCAGTATTAGTAGGTTACCTTAGTGCTCTCTGTGTCTTGGAAACCTCTGCTCCACAACACAACTGCATTTTTGTGGGAACTTGGTGGCACAGGATCAGCCTGCACCGACCAAACAACTTCAGGAGTGTTTCATAGCTCTACGCTGTCCAGGTCTTCTTTTATTTGAAACCTTCCCATAAAGAAATCACTCCAGCACAATTAGCCAAGAAGATATTGCATTGTGATATATAGAGCAGGTTTTAAAAAAGCTATTTGAGTATTAAAAGAGACTTCAAAGGAGGTGAGATCATGAGAGAATAGGGATGTATTGGACCCATATAAGACAGATTCAGTTTTACTGCTCTAGGAGGAGACATAGGGGACTAGGCAAGGACTACCCAACATACTTGGGTACAGATTTTAATTAGGATGGTTACAAGATGTAGCTTTCAGACCCATGGCCCTTCCAGTGAATTAGAGAACTATCCCTAGCCAAGACAAGGAGTGCAGAACAGTGTTTGCAGTGACAAAAAACAAGAAGGGGACCTGCAAGTTTGTATTATCTCCATCTGCCAGCCCTCAGACCTAAGGACCAAGCCTTGCTTGTAGGCATATAAATCTTTTGCCAAGTTAATGAATCACCAAACTTCCTAAGATCTTGTGAGAAGCTTACATCCATGAAGAAGAGGAGTGGGATTGGTGTTGCCCTTTGCCTGCTGGAATGTGCCACGGCATTCCCAAATCACATCGGTTTTGGGGTGAGAAGGTTCACATTTTGGCTGCCACAACCCCGGTCAGCATTTTCAAAGCAGGAAGTTTCAGCATGGCCCTAGCTGCTGGTGGCAAGGCTGTTAAATAAAAAACTCTCAAGTTACATTTTAAAAGAAAGCAGCGGCCAATCAGTGTTTTTTTCTGTCCAGGGAGCAGGCTCTGAACGGAGCAGCACCAGCTGGAGGGGAGAAACACAAGCATCTATTCACTTACCCTGTTCTTAATAGCAAGATGCTGGGCATGGACGAAGAGTATACTTATGAAAAAGTTAACACAAAATATCTAAATGCCTTTGGTGATGGGCAGTAAGCTGAGCTTGGAAGTTTAGAATTCAAATTTTGGTCTGACCTGTTTAATATTCAATAAATATGTAGTTCTTTCTTGTCCCAGCTTCAGTCAGTAACAGGAAAAGATACTTGGAAAGCATTTTTGGTCTGCCTCTCTGAATCATGGCAAGAACAAATTTTTTTTTTCTATTAAAATACAACACCTTATTTCAGTATAAAAATAACTACCTAGTCAATAGCCTGCAGAAAACATGAAGGATGAGGCAAATTAAAGAAATTCATATAGGTGGGTAAAGTGACTTCTCTAATATTGGCCACGAGTTTAAAACAATCTTTCACGCAGTTCAAATGACAAAAGCATATCAGCTGGATTGGAATTTAATTACCCACTTATGTGTGGACCCAGATGCAAAGAAACAAGCGTTTGGTGCTTCTGTTTTTCGAATGAGGTTGGCCACTGGGTGTCATCCTTGATTCAGATTACAGGCAAAGACTTTTTAGATACAACGTAAAGCCTGCAACTTCCAGTGCAGTTAAATTCCATTCTATTTGATTGTACAACACGCAGCAAATTGTTCTGCATTTAAATCAGCTATAAAATTGAATACTTTGACATAGACAAATTTGCCTTTGTCTTGCTGCCTTATTTGGAGACCTGAAACGGCTGGATGATGTGGGAAAGAGAGAAAAGTAATGCAACCAGGGCATATTAACTACAAACAATTTGATGAGCGATTATCAAATCTCACGAAACATGAAATACCTATGATTAAATAATGCAAAGAGTCTATGCAGGAAGTTTGGTATTATGTCCTTAATTGGGCCCCAGGCTGACAAATCCTTTTTTGTATAGGCAATTGTATTTAAGACATTCACCATCCAGACTCAGTACACAAGTTAACGAGTATGTATGAAGAAGCTGGTTCAGAAAAAACTAATTGTCAGCTCTTACCTACAATACCAAGCTAGTGCTCTCAGAGAAGTTTCAAAATATTATCAAGGAGGAAAAAAACCTCAAAGTCCTTAAGATTTTATTCATTTCTCCTATTGCTACTCAGTGATTTCTAGCTGGCTCACACATTTTTGCTGTTCAGCATCTTCCCAGCTCCCCACAGCCCAGAGGTTTGGCCACAGAAGCAATGTCTGCACCTAACGGAGGAGCAGGGGGAAAAAACAAAAAAAAAACAAAACAAACAAACCCAAACTCTTCCCAAAAGTGATATCCAGATATTCAGAATATTTTGCCAGTGTTCAGATGCGAGGATCGAATCAGCTCACAACAGGTCACATATCATCCTAATGAGTTATGAGTGACTGAGAAGAACTTATCAGTGTTATTTGGTTATCTCCTGGGAGTCTAGACAGTCTGAAACCAGCACATAGTGCAGCAAAGCTCCTTATTATAATATTGTTCCGCTTTGAAACCTGATTTAGTTTGCCTTCTTTCAAGCTAAAAGAAAAGTGCCAGCAATTTCTCCAAGCACTACAGACAGAAAGAAATGGTTACATTTGTTGATGCATTAAAAGTATTAATCTGACTCTTCTTAACACATACACACAGTACAGTCACATAACTTTAAACAACAAGGTTGGGTGTTTTTTTTAATGCAGCTAACCTTAGCTGATAGCATCCCTTTTCATGGATTAGACAGTCTTTGGGAACAATCTCCATGTAATGTTTCCTAGCTTTACCAGTGGATATAATTTTAATGAAAACACGCCACTATTAAAGAGCTATTTAGACACAGAGCTGAAATTGTCTTTGATTTTGTGCACCAATGAAAGACTTCAATGATTTTTTAAAAATCAATTTTTAAAGGAAGGTGTTAAATATTCTCTTTATGTTAAACAGTCTCATAGGCATGATTTACGTTACTTGCTTTTAACATTAAAAACATTCTCTTTTATGATTATATTTAGTGTAGAACTGATAGCAGACTGCAAGGAGGAATCTTATTTAAGATGTGAGCATTTATACTAACAATTCCAAAATTTACTAAAATTAACATAAAATAATCTATCCAAGCTAATAAAGTCAGACAACCAAATTATTTAAACTCGTACTACCATTTCCATTGACGCAACAAGTCAGTAAAGAGTATTAGCCCAAAGAGATTTTTCTGAAGCAAGCAATTTCTTCTCCATCTGTACATATATACGTGCATATAAACATAGACACTTATGTTCATAGTCTATAACTAGGGATCTAGATACTTTCTCACTCCAAGATGTCATTCCAAAAGGAAGATGTTTTCCTCATTTATACTTCACAGCACCTTTTATTTGGGGATAGAAATATACTTACGCTGGTGTAATACTCTTGGAATGTTTCTCATGAATATAGGCACCAGCAAGGCCTCCTGCTCCAGAATTTAAATACTGCAAAGAATAAATCAACATGTATGTGTCAAGCTCATTATCTGTAAAGTATAGCCCTATAAAACAGACCAATTTCAACATTTCCAGTGTTTTCTAACTGGAGAATTTAACATTTGTCTCAAATTGCTGATGTAGGTAAAAGCAGATGCAATTTTTCAAATTAGTTCTAAAAATATCTTTCTTGGCTTACATATGATAGTTAAAGTTTAACAGACAAAATGATAGGAAGTTGGAATATGGATGAAACAGTCCCATATCACAATATACATAGCAAAGTCATCAAACAATTAATCTGGCTACATCTGTCAATTCTTAAACTCAAGAGAAGTCAAAGGAGCTGAAGATACCTTTTTCTATGGTCGGAAATTATTTATGTTTAGCTAAGAATATTCTCTTATTTAGACACCACTTAAGAAAATCCTATAGCTGCAAGACCTTCTTGGTGTAGGAAATAAAAGAAAAGTCTTTCACGCTGTGACCGCATAGCAGAGTGTGCTTCAGAGCAGGTGTTTAACCACCAGTAGCATCCATCTCACATTCACAAGACCTTGCAGGTCATTGCCACTACTTTCTTTTGGAACCTCTCTTAAGAAAACCAACATGAAAATCAGTGTCTATCTCCTCTTTGTGGCTGGTTCAAAGATTCGGCCAAGTCTTGATCAACCGTTCACATACAGTTCTTTTAAATCTGACCCATTCTATAAGTGACATTATTGAAAATAGCCTCAAACAATGAATTTGTTTTACCTTGTAGGAGCACCAGGAGGCAAAATCTACTCCCCAGTCATGCAAATGAAGTTCAACATTCCCAACAGCATGAGCCAGGTCAAATCCAACAAAGCAACCCTGCAGAAAAAAAGACATTTAACGGAATACCTACCAAAATAACGATCACTGTAAATTTGGGGGGGAAAAAAAAGTGTATTTGGATCTGTATATACTTGCTCTCTATACAGGCATGCTACCAAGTCCCATCTGTTTTGAGTTATTGTTAGAAACAAGTTTTCTATACCAAACACATATAGAAATAATAAATTGGTTTGTGGGCTTGTCTTCAAGGTCACTTGGATATGGTTTAGATTCCTATGCAACACATTGATCTTTAATTACTTTTGTACTTGTTGCAAAAGCATTCTGCCATTTCTCTGTGAAAAGTATTGTATTTGTCATAACCACAGCTCGCACAGGGCGCTGGAGAGAAAGAAAAATATTTTTAAAAAAGAAAAAAAAAAGCATAAGGACATATGGATCAAAAAGCAGCAGTTTTATACACCAAATATCCACTGGATGGCAGCATTTTTAAACTAAAAAAGTTCTAAGCTTTGCTATTTATTTAAGCACAGAGAACTAAGACTGCCTTTTGTGTCTGGACTACAAAATTGAATGCTGTTTTGCATTTTACTTTTCAAACACAAACATCCTTCTTGCAAGCAGCATGCTAGGAATAAGAGCAAGAGCACAGGCTTCAAAAACATCAACGTCCAGTAATAAAACAAAGGAGCTCTTTTAAGAATCTCTAGCTGTTTCTTGCACGAAGGGAGCCTTAACTAAATTATTTAAACAGTGCTTTGGTATGTTTAATCTTCTGTATAAACCAGATAACAATTTGAATGAAGCAGCATTTTAAGAAGATGCGACACACTAATTCTAACGGAGGTGTCAGTGAAGCTATCAGCTTAAGAAGTTGCTCCAAAACGATGGGAAGAAAATTGGCTGCCATAGCATTTGTGCGATCCAAACACTGGAATCAAGTAGCCCACCCTGCACACCCTCGGTGGCTTGCCTTCACAGGGACATATAGAAGTTAAGACGAATCAGCTGAAATGGTGAAGCTAAAGTCGAGAAGCTGAAGCACATGGAAGGCACATGGGAATGCTCACATGCAGAGATGAAATAGCCTTGGTTCAGAGAAAGAAGCTACAGCAAACCAAAGCCAGTCTGCTATTGAACGAGGTTTTCCTAGGGTGTTAAAGCATTAACTTCAAAAGTCCACTTGACTGGATTTTAAGAATTACAGAGATCACTTCGTACACATCCCACAAAACCTTTTTTTAAAAACTGCTAGGAGAGATTCATCGATTGGAACGGTAACCAGGAATACTGTGATACGCCGAGAGTCTTGTAGAGTGCCTGTGTCTGGAGTTACATCAACAAAGTTAAAACAAAACTAAAAAAAAAATTACAAACCACAGTAGTTGTTCATAAAAAATCATTTAAAAATGATTACATTTAATGCTATGGTAATTCTTGTGTTAAAATCAGTTGTCCTTTCCCTGTCAGCAAGTGGTAAACTTTATAAAATATTACGTTCCAAGCACAAGATTACAAATTGGGAAAATGCACTAGATGGGATGTAGGACAAGACTCCTTAGGACACCAACAGCTTGGATGTCCCAGTGCTCGTGGTGATGAGGGTCCATCACTGCATCTCCACCTGTACCCTCAATGGGCAGAAACTTTCCTGGGCACAGAAACCAGCTGGCACAGATCGGCTTGCACCCACATCACGCACTGGTAGCCCTCAAACAGGACAGCCAGCCGCAGGTCATACTCCTGAACTGCTTTCACTGCTCCCCAACCCTTTGAAATTGGTTGGTAAACCATATGGGGTACTATGTAACTTACTAACAAGGCACAGCCTTAAAATCTGGGTTCAACTCTGGCAGGTTTCCTGCATCGTCTCCGAAACACCCACTCACAGCATTTCGCTCAAGTCGACATCTGCAAGATGGGTGGTGCTGGTCTGCTCTCTCTGGGAGGCGTCTGGCACTCGAATCACACAAACAGCAAATGTTTAGCCACACAGATTGCATGGAAAAAAAAGTAAAACAAACTGAAACAGCCCTTCCCGCACACACCGCGAGGAAGAGGAGCCGTGTGGGAGCAGCGCTTCCCCAGACTGGGGGGGAAGACAGAGCTCTCCATCTGCTCCGGGCGAAGGAGAGGACGTGTGCTCTCCCCTACCTCTTCCGTTTCATTCTCACATCTAAAAGTCATTTCTGCGAAGTGTCTGGGTAGCTGCTGATAACCAGCAGGTAACAACTCAGCATGGACAATGACATTTGGAGAGAGGGAGAGAAATGACAGCTTCACACCAGCAGAGCTGGGACGTTTAGAAAGAGAGACAGGAAAAGAAATGAAGATGAAGGATCTTAAAGCTCTTCCCACTGGGACTCAAGAGATTAAAATACTTTACATACGGTACAGAGTCAGTGGAAAGTACAATACAACTTATGAAATGAAAATTGTATTTGAAAGCTATAGTGTCCTAAAAGTCAGCCATTTCTCTGCTTGAAGAAGAATAAAATGACTCAACCCCCTCTATCCTCCAGAGCAAGTTCAAAAGCATGAAACAAGGAAATCCGTTACATCCTCTTCAGCCTGCTGATGAGTGTCTTGCACGACACATAGTAATTTTGATTTATCTGAGAGACCTAAGATGGAAAAATAGCCTGAGGTAATTTTTCAAGCTTAATTTAGTTCATTTAATATTTAATGACTTAATGAAGCTGTCTATGTGCAGAGCTTTCACTCTGGGAGGAATCTTAACATACATAGAGAACTTAGGAAATTGGCTTAAAAAATGTAAAAGGAAATCAGTAACTTAATTCATAAATGATTGACCTCAAGAATCCTAGGACATTTTCCAGACCTCCTGAGCTTGCAGATGAAATTTCTAGCCAAGGCCTGATAGGGTACAACACCGCAGGATTTTATTTCAATTCTACATTAAAAGAATTATTAAGACCATCTGTGTAGGATGTTTCTCTCTGCGACACTGGCTGATAAGTGAATTTTTTTCTCCCCTCCTCTTCTCAAGTGACATTTCCACTTTACATTTTCTCCTTCTGACTTTCTTGCTTGTCAGCTCTCCCCAACCTATTTTCTGTTCATGAGCATGGGGTCATTCACCAGCCTTCATCACCAGGAAGGCAAGTCTTGCATTTTTGAAATGAATATGACTTTTCAGGCTTATGTTCTTTTAACATATGTTTGAAAGGATATCCAGCCTTCCTGGGATAATATGTAATATATAAAATAATCCTTCTAACCACTGCTGGTTTCATCAAGTCCTGAAGCTCCTGAAGGAGATATAGTCTTTAAGTCCACACAACTATGTCCTGAAAACTTGTCAGGCTGCGGACAGGCACTGGTTGGATGTCACCAAACAGAAATTAAGCCCATACACATCACTTAGATGCTCATGACTCTGGCTTAGCGGTTGTTTTCTTGTTCTTCTTTAACCCAATGGCAGCTCTTAACATCAGCTCTGACCTGGGAAATGAGGGAGGAGCCAACTTCTTTGGAAGATCCAGGATTTTGGCCTTTTTGGTAATGAGAAACAGCAGGATACAGGACTATTGCTTACCAATATTAAGGCAGAAAACTCTTCATGAATCACTGATTTCTTAGCTGTTCAAGTAAATATTTGCCATATGCAGATGTTTAAGGTGTAACATTATGTTACACAGCAGTTTGTGTAAACACATAAACATCATTTGACCCACAGGGCACAATCCATAAGAACACTGAGCCAAGTGTATCTGACAGTAGGGAAATAAAATCAAGGTTGGCTCATGGTTTGCAAGCCATATGGGTTCTCAAGTAGTTCTTCAGGCTGAATTAACTTTACTTTTTAAATACAATAATGACATTTCAGGTTATGAATCTACCTGGATCCCAGTCCTAAATGCTCTAACCACAAAGAAGCTGGCAATTAATCTTTTTCTTCCCCCCTCCTTTTCAAAAATCTCTGGAAGAGAGTCTCTTCTCCATTATGGCATTTCTAATAGGCACACAGGTGGAAAAGGGCCTTTGGCATCTATCTGTGCCTGTTGGAGTACAGAACGGCTGTCAGAAATCACTCTCCTCTTCAGTAACCCAATACAGTCTCTGTACAGATGTGCGGTGCCCTTGTGCATATCCGTGTGGAAGCACGTACCCCTGAGTTAATATCATTATTTGCACTACTTTATAGAAATTTTAAGCTGTCTCCACAGAGCCTGGGTTATCTCCTCAGATAATATAAATATAAAATCCATTTTTGCTCCATATAATAAACTATCAGCCACTACTTTTCCCCAGAACAGAGGTTCTCAGCCACCTTGGGGTAGTTTACAACTTTTGGTGAAACAGCATCACTTCCACTTGTTCAAGCATGTGTCCTACAGTCCAGAGAACATCTTCAGAGAGGTGGTAAGATGATAGGCTTTTCCTAGGTTACAGTCAGTAAAATACTGGAAGACCCTTGAGGAAGGTCCCATGAAGCTGTGTGAATTTAATACACAGACACATTTCACCCTGCAGCTGATTCCTCCCTTTTCTTCTTGGTTTTCTGCATCCGTGTCAGAAGTGGGTTTCGTTTTGTACTGTGTTCAGGACTCATTTTGTCTCCAAGTGCTGCTTTGTGAGAACATTTCCCTTTTTACTTCCCAGGGGCCCTGCACTAACTCTCACACCTGCTCTGCTCTCCCGGAGGAGACTTTACCACCACTTTCCAGCAACATAACTTACTCCCTGACCTCCAGAAAAATTTCCACTGCCAAGCTAACAGCAACAGAAGATGTATAGACTGTTGTGAGCCAGGAACCACTCCAGAGAGTTAAAACATCAAATATAAATAGTTAGTCGGTTTGCCAAAATTCAGCAGTACTAAATAGGCTTATCCTTCAGTAGTTTAAATCTTACATGAGATAAGGTTCAGTGGCAAAAGACTGCCTGTATGGAAAGTCTGGTGACCTCCTGTTGATAAAAAGACTTAATTAAAAACTATTTTCTCCTGGATTCCTAAAGGCAATTGAGATGCTTTAAGAAGTTTTACAGCTCTGTCCACAGAGCATGCTGCCTGCAAGCTCGGAAGGCTGAGTCATCATTAAAATACAGTTGTCTCGTGATGTTGCGCTCCGTGTTGTGCCTGTCTTGGGAAAACTGATCGGCTGAGCCTGAACACTGCTGGCTCCATGGGGAGCTCACCTCCCTGCTTACTGGGGCAAAACCTGCCACAGCGTGGCTGTGGAGAAAGAGGAAAATCACAGAAGTCTGCCAAAAGAAGCAGGAATCTAATGCAAGCTAGCTTTTAAAGAGAGACTAGAGCTGTGATTACCTCCTCCTCCTTCTCCACTGCACCTCTTGAAATTCTGTCCTTCAAGAAAAGCCCTGCAGAAGTTAATAGTCATGAATTATCTCTCCATATATTTTGTTACACCTGCAAGATCGCTCTCACAGGCCTATTTCCTCATGCAGCACAGAGCTCCCAAAGGATCTGGGAACAGAACGCATTTCCTTTTTTTATCAGAGATTCCACACATGTTCTGTTTTGTTCTACCAAAAAAAAAAAAACATAAGGAAAGTAGAATTTAAAAATATTTCATGAGGAAAATTGATCTAAAATTGCTACTAACAGAATGAGTCTGGAGCAATCCTACCTTTTCTTGGCCAGCCTTTGTTATTCTAGGGATGTCAAACAACTGTCCTGTGTAGTACTGCACCCCACTGAACAGAACAACAGCAATAGAGTCCCCTTCCTTCTCAATTACAGCAAGTATATCTTCAGTCTTCAAGGTGTCCTCCCCCTAAAAAAAAGTTAAAGCACAAGTTTTACATCCACTCTGGCAGTAATGAAACTGTCATTTCTTATTTCATAATCTATATTTTACCATGAGCCATGCTGCTTGCATAAGGAGATCAAACACAAATCCTTAGGATGGTAATGATATACAAAGGTATCGCTATGAAGTAATCTATCAGTAAGCTACCTGACCAAAAAAAAAAAGTCATTAGTAAACTTATCTTGAAGGTGCCAGTTATATAAAGTCTATTCACTTCATATTCTAACATGTTTCATACTCTTTAATATTTTGGACAGTTTTAATTTACAGTAAAAAAAAAAATTCTTGGTGCAAAAAAAACATGTAATTTGTGTGTGGCACCTGAAATTTGTGACACCCACAAGACTTGAAAGTTGTCTATTAGTTTCACTCTGTACTTTTTTGATAAACTTGGTATCCCACAGGAAGCTATTAAAAATCTGCCATATTTATATTTCAAAAAACAATAAGTCTCACATCATCAAAAGTACAAAAATCCCCAAACCTAGGGTCATTAAATATAGAGGAATTTTGATCAAAAAAAAAAAAAACCAAAAAACCAAACTCTTATTTTTGATTCTTTATAGGAAAATTACTGCCCCATCCTCCTCCCGTCTTCCTTGCAAGGAATCATGTAAAACATACCACCACCTAGGGATCAATTAGGCAGTGAAAACCTAGAATTAAATTAGACTTGTTACTGAAAAGAACTTGGACAAGATTGTCAAATTGCGAGCAACTATTACTACCTCAACAATCTTTGCAAATACATCAAGCACTCAGGAGTGGGCTCTTGGCTTGCAAGGTGACTCAGATTTCAGAAGCAAAAGGTCACCATCAGTTTATAGTTAGGTGGCAAAATTCTTAATACCACAAAAGTGAAGCAAGGCAGCCTTTCAAACTAATCTGAATTGTATATTACTCAAAGCAGACCTTTCCCTTAGTCTGCGCTGATACACAGGCTGCTGCTGCTGCTCATGTTGCTGCAATCTTTTACCTCAGGTCATTAAAAGGACATTGAGGTTTCTCAATGAGCTACTATATTTTGCACTTCTCCCTGGATGCTGTCAGGTCTTGCAAACAGGAAAGAAAAAAAACCCAACATTTTTTTTTTGTTCTAGTTCTATGAGGCAAATGCACTAGTCCAACCAGACAACTATAAAATAGTTCCTAATACCAAAAATCATATACACAGAAAGACAATACATGATTCATAAATTTTACCTAAAAGCATTAGTAGAAATAGATTATAACTTCTGCAGGCAGACACTAGAATATTTGAGAATATATGACTACTCTCTTATGACATATGCTTCTGCCCTTAGCAATAGCAAGTAGAACTGACATATTTCTCACTAACCTCCCGCGGCTGCATCATGAGCATGCTTTTCTCAACATCAAGCCCGTGAAATCGGAGTTGGGACTCAATAGCATACTGGAAGAGATTTCCACGCAGACCACGTTAGCGCAATTACATGATAAAAAAAACTAAAAGAAAAACGGACAAACATGTGAGAGCTTCTGAGGAGGGATTCAGATGCCTGCCTTTCACTGGAATTAACAGTTGAAAGCCTTATCCAGCTCCACTGAAAATTTCATAGATTTCCATTAGTTTGGGGGAAAAAAAAATCATAATTTAATTCACATCAACAGGCAGCAAGAATAAAGTCAAAGTCTAAATACTACAGGATCAGTTCATGGAGCAAAATGAAGGTGGAAATGTGGTGGAGGATGTGCTGTACTACGTGCCAGCAAGCAAAGCCTGCACAGGTAACAGAAAAGGAGAAGACTTGACATCTCCTCTCCAGGGATCCTGGGTGGCTTGGTGGCACATGCTAAATCCCAGGCTGTCACACAGACACCAAACAGGCTTTGGTCAACATGTATTTGCTCTCCCATGCTGTTCTCACATTTCCGGTTTGCTGCACAGCTGGGAGGAAGCAGAGAGCTCACACTTCTCAGGCTGTTTTTGAAATCCTACCCACCGATTTTATCCGTAAATAATGGTTCTGGAGATAGCATAAAAATCAATGAGTAATACTGTAAAATGCTTGGAGATTGCACGACAGGAACTGAAGTGATGGCAGTTGCACGGTTTATTACTGAAGTACCGTAGAAATTTGAGATGGAGTCCAAGTCTACAAGTGCTTCTGGAACAAATGTGGGATTAGTATGAACATTACTTAGAATGAAGGCAGTATGAGGTATTATACACAACTGCGTGACCACCTTCATTGCAAATAAACCTCTTAGTAGCTTGAGTCATTTTTATCGCACCTTAGAGATCAAATTATCAAATTCCATGAGTTTTCAGAGTTGATGATCAAGTAGCATTGGGCCACAAACCCAAAGATTAATTTAAGTCGTGATGCATGGGCTATTGTCTCCTATTTTATAGCAGACGAATTACATTTGAACTAGTAATCTAAAGTGCTAAGAACAAACATTTCCATCTCTTTCGGGGGATATATAAGTGTTAATGTTGTGAGTTTGTATTGATTTAGTTTCATAAAGTAAATCAGCAACAAGAATTAATAGAACATTTACAACTTCAGTTGATTTAGGCCAGTAGTTTGCTCAATGTCTTTAAAAAGACTAATAAATCAATGTGCCCATTCAATCTTTTCCTCTTGTAACATTTTTTATTCGAACAAAAGGAATAAAGCTACAAATCTGTAAAATATGCTGAGCTCAAAAGCTTCTGACAGATTTTTTTTTTTATTGTAATGTTACTTGGGCAAGATGAGCTAATAAATATTCAAAGCAGGCTACTGATATTCTTTGGGAAAATATGATTAATAATACAAATATGGTGAAATATTAATTTCTTACATGGTCAGAGGGAAAGGCTTTGGCTTCTAGAAGAATTTTATAACGTCTTGGAGTAGGCTTAAAGAAAGATAGCTGTTAAGAAAAAAAAAAACCTGTTAAAGCATATCTAAGCAGAGATGAGAGAAATGCTCCCAGCCTATAACCCAATAATAAAGACCATTTTACTTTCATGGAAACTACAGAGAAACCCCTAGAAATTACAAATATTTCTTTGTCCATATAACATTTATCAAAGTAGGAATGCATTATAATACTCTATTCCATATATCCATAACAAAGACCTCAATAATCTAGCAGTGAAAACTTGCACTTACAGGAATTGATGGCAAAGCTTTGACTGGGGCCAGGGAAACTGGGATTTCACCCAGCTCCATCCCACAAGCAAAAGCAGCAGCTGACGAGTAGCAAACTGTGAAAAGGAGTTGTGTTTCCATTCCTCCCCTAAAACACTAGTTATTCATTCATCTCCTCCTCCAAAACAAGTCTGACCAAAGGACTAAGCCATCTGGCAAGTCTTCATTTCAGCATCTTTAGGTGAATGGTCTTTCCTTCTCATCTCCTTGCGTGGAGATGAGCTGGGCTTTTCGCCATGCCAAGAGGACCAGGTGAAGACTAGGAAGCTCTGCTGTTCACGCTAGCAGGGCTCACACACATTGCTCAGCATGGGATGTGTACCTGAGCAGTTTGGCATAGCTCCATCTAATTGGCTTGTACTTTGCCCCATCCTTCCCCGCTTCAGGTTTCTTAATTTAACAAAGGTCAGAAACATGTAACGGAGGAACAGAACTGAGCAAATAAATCTGTCTGTGAACCACACAAAGTGAAGCTTCACATCTTCATTCAGTTGAAACAAGTTTCTGGAAATACTAGAGAACCAGGGACAGGCTGTATGCAACCACAGAAAGACCTGCACTTGAGGAAGCCAAATTTATGATTACTATGTCATAAAAATCAGATGCTTTGCAAAATCTTAGACTTACATAAAACAGTATAACTCAAAATTTCATCTCCTGTATGCAGCTACATTATAAGCTTCATTGAAATTACAGATCTATCTTGCTCACAGTTGAATTCTTGTCTCTTAAAGTTTGAAATTTTGTGTGAAATTCAGATTTGAGAAGTTATTTGTAAATGTTTCTTAAATAACAAGGTACTCTCTCTGAGCACTGAGACACAGCACATGTGAGAACAGCTCAAACTTCCCCTTCAGCATCCTTAAAATTAACTCCGTGTCCAGATTTTCTGCATAATCTTAAGTGGAGCAAGGTCTTACACAAGCCAAAGCATCATTCATGATACCAACCCCAAGGTCTAAGAAAAGTTGGGCTATCATCCAGCATAGTCTTTGGGAGGTCCTCAGAAAACACTTTGCTTGCATTCACAAAAAAAGGGAAAATGTATTTGTCAATACACCAGCAAATAAATATTGTACAAACATACCATCTGGAGGTGCAAGTTAACTGTTAACCCATTCATCAAGGCTACTTCATGTCTTTGGGCACCTGAAATAATAATTTGAATAAATTTAAAAAAACCACAAACAAGTGGTTAGGGGTTTTCTTTATCATTTCAGAGAAATTTAGTACAACACTGAGAAAGAAAAAGTGTGTGTTTTCAGTCAACATCTCTCTAAAGACTGGACAGGAAACAAACATATGAAGTGTCATCGCACTGAAGTAAGATTTCTTGTCTGAGTCACTACATCAGACTGGCAGGAAAATACTTATTTTCTTCAAGTCGGTCACCAAAAGTGAAAATCAATGAAGTATTTCCATTTCCTGGCAAGCCATTGGTGGATTTAGTATCATTAATACTTCAGAAAAAAATCAGGTCAGAAGATTACATGTACTGCAAGACTTGCAGTCTTATTTTTGTCATAAGTTTCTATGTAAAACAAGCCAGAAAACATATCAGGACAACCATCTATTGTACGTGGTTCAGTGCAATGGCAAACCAAATCTCATGCCTAATAAGAAAAAGGAAAAAAAGGCAAGCAAATTGGCCTGTTGAAGAAAACAGACTGTTATTAACGTAGCAACTTAGCAAGAAGAAGACCTACTCACATAGCAGCAAACAGGCTAAGACAGATGCCTTTTGGCTACAGATAATCACAGGCAGAGCTAATGGAATAACAACTAATTGTCATTATAAAGTATTTTGTAACAAATTCCCAAACCCTTATCAACCACTGGTAAAAGGTGGTAGGCAGGAGGAGGGGCTGCACATTGAGCACCAAGATATGGGGAAAAGTCTATTCCTGTTTCTTTGCATTTTGCCTGGTGTCTGTTGCTGAAAAGCAGGAATTCACCCTTGACACAAATCAGCACTTTGAGAGTCTTCTTCAGCTGTAAGATGGGCTCATGCACCTTTCTTTAGTCATCCTTCCATGAGTGGAGTTCACCAGAGGTGGAGAGAGATTGCAGATGGGGAGGGATGAAGAAAAGTGGAAGAAGGCAGGGAGGACAACAGCCACGCTTGAAATTAATAATGAAAGGAAAACATGATGGGGTAAAAAGAGTAAGGGGAGTCACAAGAGAGGTGAATCCTGCATTTCTCCTTTCTCTGCCTTGGAGGGCACACAAGGTCCCAGCAAACACAGGGAAAAGACAGCAAGAGAACTGAGACACTCCCATTATAACCCCCAGAGGTTTACGGAGTTGCTACTTTGCCTGCCTAAGAAAAAAGACATATCCATGGGTTAAACAAAATACATACAAACACAATGAAAGAACATGGAAATCTGTAAATAAGAAGGCTTTTTTTATAAATCCTTGCCAAGCAGGCTTCAGCTTGTTGCTACAGAAAAAAACAAGAGCAAGTCTGATTGAGGTATTTGAGGGTCTTCTTTGCATTGCTGAAACCTCCAAGAATTGGACAGAAAGATCTGTCGATAGTTGTCAGTGACTCTGGCGAAGCCATCCAGGGGGTAAGTCAGGAGGAAAGAGATTTCATGAATAAGTTCCCTCCCTCAGATACCAGGAACGTCATCAAGTTTGTGAGAAGAAACACAAGTAGATTTAGTTTTTCATAGGGAAGAATAACTTTTTTTCCCCTCACTTAAATTCCTGTCCTTCATTTTCTTTTCTTCCCTCTGATAGTGTTGCATCTGCAAGCTTCATGCTGCTGAAAGCGGTCACCTTGTGGCTGCTCTATTGCAGATACAGAAGACAGCTATAGAGAGTGATTGCAGCTCAAAACAGGATTATATGAAGTCTTAATATTTCTATGGAACTCTTGAGGCCTGAAAAAAAGGGATGGCATCAAGAAATTGTATTGTTCTTATTTCTCCCTCTGCTCCTTCCATGACATCTGTGGCTTTCACGGCCAATTCTGCATGAGCAACCCCTCTGCCTGCTGTTCCGTTCCTGTATAAAACAAATGGTTAATCTGTAGATCACTTTTTAGCTGCATGCTAGCATCTCAAATTAAATATGACACTACATTTGTCATGTAAGTCTTGGTCTTACGTAAATTATATATTTATTAAAAGCTTTCCATTATTGAATTTCATGCCCACAAAACAAACCTCATCCGTGTCATTGGAAAACTGTTATCCTTTATAACCTGCACTGTGTTTCAGAAAGCAACCTTTCTATGATCCAATTAACCTATTACAATATTCAAAGACCCAGCACACAGGAGACAAAATTATGTTTGCTTTCTTTATTTCCTAACTTTATACCGTATCTTCAAGACAGGCTAAAACCTCTATGTTCTGCTTGATAAATCTCCTCTTTAATAAGAGGAAGCAGCATTTGCAAAGTACAACTTCAGAGACAATTATGATTGTGTTAGGCAGACACCGCCATCCTTCTCCTCTCTGGCTGCAGTGGGAGCCTGATCCTCAACAGAATAAACAAAAAGCATTTTGTAAAATGATTAAGGGAAAAAAAATATACTAAAGGGCCCCAATTCTGAAAAACAGTTTGGCCACTTCAAATAATCCTTATCACTCAAAGTCACCACAAATCTGCTAAACACTCAGTCTTCCCTCAACAGAGACTTGCCCAGTCCCGTTGTAGAGCAGCAGCCACACAGTTAATCTTGTTCTGTCAGAAGGTGATTCTGCCAAGGTTGCAATGTTTTAATAAAGTCTGGTAGAAGAAACTGAGATTACCGTCGCCGCGTTATGCCACTCGGAGTGAGCATAGGAAAAGAAAAAAAAAAAGCTTTGGCCTCCATTGACCTTGACTCCGCATTTCACAATGTATTTACTACTGTAACTTTCACTGCACAAGAAAATGGGGCTGCATTTAATAAGCAAGGTGTTATAGCACTATAAACCATTAAGTGGAGAAAGATATTTTACAGTCCATTCCTGAATAAATCTCACCAAGTAATTTTTACGTACTACTACCTAGAGTGAGAAACGACAATTCCTTCTCCATGAGATACTAAATATTGAATAAAAAACAGGGTAAAACTCTGTTTATGTTCTTACATTAAATTCACTACAAAAAGAAAACCAGAATTCACTCAACTCATACATACCTGGTGCTACACCTTTCCTGAAAAGAGTACTTAATCATAAATAGCATATTGGAAAAGAGTATTATAACATTTCTCCTGCATTTATTCTCTTAGACTTTTCATTATTACCTACAATTTTAAAAGTCAGAATTTATTACAATTCATTCATTATATGGGAAATATTAATTCATTTGAATTCTAATAATCACTCACCTAGGTTCTGAAAAAAGCATTCAGGATATTATATGAATAAAACCCTGCTGACATGTAAATCTGAGGGCCAGATTTCAGTACAAACCATATTTTATAGTTCAATTGAAGTCCAAAAAATCTGGAGAACAAAATCCAAGCTGATAACATTGGCATGTTCTTTACTACTAAGAAAAACACAGGACTATGAAACTCTTTCCAACCAAGAATTTTAAAAACACGAATAGGTTACTGGTACTATGACCTCCATTCTCGTAATTTTTTTAGCAGAAAACTTTAAAATATATGTTTAGAATAAGCAAAACTGAAATAAGCTCAGTGTAGACTGGTTATAATTATAAAATGTATAGAGTTTAGAAAGAAGAACAGAAGGGCTGATAAGAAATTAGAAGAAGTTTACGCAGAGCTGTCAGCTCCCTCCCCTTACACCCACAGTACTTTTAGTTAAACACTATAATACTCACTGAGCTGGCAGCCTCCACAAGACAGATGGCTAAGGGAAAAATAGTCCCAAGCTGACTCCCTGCTTTCTGCAGTGACTTTCAACCTAAACCTGAGGCGAAACTGACCCCGGGACCGACACCAGCAGCAGGTCAGTGCTCAGCCTGCCCCAACACCCGGAGGGGAACTCGCTGGGACCCACGTTTTGCAAATGGAGCAGCAGTAAACATTTGCAGAAGGTGATGCAGGGAAGGATGATAATTCAAGCCCTTCAAGCTTTCCTTTGGGAGATCCTGGCTCTCTCTCCCGGTTACATGACATAACATCGATGGTCTTGCCTTTTTTCTTCACTCATTTAAATAGTCATTTAAAGCAGGTAGCGCAACTACTCTCCCACTCTCCTAAGACCCCAAATTCTTCACCCTCCAGTTAACTAACTTCAAGGTTTCCAATTTAAAAGTCCTTACTATGCATCGGGCTAGTTGTTTGACTGGTGACTTGCCAGGAGAGATCAGTCAGACTAGAGAAGTCTCTAAATCAGCTGCGTTCAGCATTTCAACACCCTCCACCCCTTTATATTCTCACATTTATGTTCTATAATAGTCAAAGGATGAATATGCTGAGCTTGCCCTTGAATGTAATGGAAGCAAGAAAAGTAATTTCTCAACCTCCCGAGCAATACTAAGATCTACAGTAGCAACTTCCAAAGTCAGAAGAACAAATACAGATTTTCATTTTCAGTTTGTCCTGCAGATGGGATTGCTCCACATAGCCCAGTGATGTCCAGTCTAACTATGTTCATATTTATGTTATTTTAGCGCTTACGTCATGGACAGACCAACTGTAACAATATTTTCTTATATTTTAGACCAACTATAACAATATTTTCTTATATTTGCCCTGCTCCAAAAGTAATGTCAAGTATATTTTGAATGTGTAGCTATTTTGAAAATTCTTCAAGAAGAAGTCAGGATGTGACTTTATTTATAACTATACAAATAAAGCTGCCAATGAAACATTCCTTAATGTCTCTTTCCAGCTGTTCAGACCCCATTTGCTTCTCTTGAAGGAGAAAGAACACAATTTTCTCATTGAACATTTGTCTATAATTGTAGGAGAAATTACAAGACAATATCTAACATACAGTAGGTCAACCTAACCACAATATTTTTCCTTAGTGAAGGAACAAATGAACACAGCTCAGTCAGTATTGACAGTTTCCTTCAACAGCTAGGCTGAAATACTGGCCAAATCTCACTAAAATCTACTAACCTAGCCTTGACAATGTCTGTAAGGGTTGGGGAGAAAAAGAGTCTGCGAGAAACCCTGCCAAGATCATTTCTCTTCCCCCTTCTGACAGCAGGAACTCAAAGGAAATCCCAGTGAAAGAGTATTTCAGCAACTACACACGGCTTAAAGTAAGAGGAGATAGAGGAAATTTGCATTCAGACTTATAGGCAACTGCTTTCATGGCTGGCAAACCCACCAGGAGAAGTCTCCAGGGCTCCTTCTCAATCTCTAGAATAACCAGATGCATTTAATGCCAAGGTCCTGCAGGCTCCTCAAGGGGTACGGCGAGGTAATGGGACCTTACAAACAGCAGTTCCTGCCCCAGTTATCTGCTTTGTTGATATAAGCAGATCTCAAACATGAGGCTGGATTTAGTGGTGGAGAATCATAGAATCATAGAATGGCCTAGGTTGGACTAGACCTTAGAGATCATCTATCCAACCTCCCTGTCATGGGCAGGGCCGCCTCTCAGCTAGATCAGGCTACTCAAGGCTCCGTCCAACTTGGCCTTGAACTCCTCCAGATTTCCCCTTGTCCTATCAATGTTTCTTCAATGTATTGAAACACAGTCAGAAAGAAATATTTTTAGTATTTTTGTTACTGACAAAAGACAACTACTTCCTTATATTCTGTTTTATTTTTATTTACATTATACACTAAATAATACTACTAGGATGTTTTTTTCCCCAAATCCTCTCAAGTTTCTGGCCAGTGATAGGGTTCCCCTAGAGTCTTCTCCAGACTGAACAATCCCAGCTCCCGCAGCCTGTCCTGGTAGCAGAGCTGCTCCAGCCCCTGGATCATCCTTGTGGCCTCCTCTGAACACGCTCCAACAGAAGAAAAGCAGAAAATGTCTAGACAGAAATACTTGTTCAAAGGGGAAGGTTCACTGGCTCACTTCTAGGAGAGTGTCATCTCTCTTGGACAATGTATTAATCAGCTTCTCTAATGTTTGGTTAGTTTTCTCAAATGCTTTCTCAATTGATTCATTGGTTTTCTCAATTGCTTTCTCAATCGACTTCTCTAGTGATCTGTTGTTTTCCTCAACTACTTTTTCCATGGCAGCAATGTGAGCTTGTTGGAGACTAGCAGTACTGTCTTCATACTGTCGTGCTTTGTTGGCCACTTCACTCACTGTTGGTGTCTGACCATCTGATGCCCAGACCATTGTCGACAAGGTGTGCTTGTACATTGGTGGAGCACTCCTCACAAACATCTGGATAACAGGTTTGTGGCAGGGCATGTCATCAGGGTTTAAAATGGTTTGTGGATCGCTGTAAATCACCTCTCTCACTGCTAGTTCTCTCAGGAACTTGATACCTTTTTCCATGCTGGTCCAGTTGGGTGTGTGGATGGGAAGTTCTCCCTTGTGGGTATACCGGCTCTTAATAGCTGTCAAGAGTCTTCTCCAGAGACTGAGACTGTTGTCATCTTTCGCAAGTTCCGAATCGATGCCTGCATTATCAGATAGGGACCCCAGCTGTTTGGCTTCTTTACCGTTCAGATCAATGGTATCAGCACCTTTATCCCAGCATCGGAGTAACCACCTGTAATATGATTCACCCTCGCGACGGCCAAAGTCCTTTCTCATATCTCGCAGCTCCCTCAGAGTTAAAAGTTTGGCAGCTGTCTCTGATTCTGATTCTGAACCATCTGATGAC